TTATTTTGTTAATAGCATTTATGACATACTCCTCATGTTCTACTGTCACAATTGAATTATAAGTTTATGAAACAAGAGAGATGGAGGGACACAACTCCTAAAAGATTGTACATCTTCCTCTATATATAGAAAACAAGAAGTTGGACAGACTATATACTAAAGACAAAAAAGGTAAAGAAATTGCAATTTTAAGGATATAAAAATGTTTGATGGCTGGAAGTGAATGGTTCATTGCCTATAGCCGTTATATAAGATTTTTGACCTTCCCATCCTAAGTTCAATCATCACTCTCTAACCTTTTCATGTTGCCTTTCCATTACTCTTCCCCTTTTTCATATTGACTTTGTATTTCTCTTCCCGAGCGGTTTTTTGATCTTCAATCACTCTTTTCTTAATTTTTGGATCTAATCTTTGTGGGTCTTATTGAAAGTAGGTTTGTCTTCGTTAATGGTAGTTACAACATATAGAGAACTTTGTTAAGACTGGTGGGATAAATATAACTACATCAAGGACTAATGCAAAGACAACTTATTTGACACTGTTGGGCAACAATTTGAAGAATGTGAAGGTTGCTCCATGTGGTTCAAGGATTGAAGGGGTGGTTATATGCTACGTTCTTATGATCACATTCCTCAGGTTTATCTCAAATCATTCTTTTGAATTCTTGTGGTTTTGTTTTACTCATTGAATGGAGTGTAAGTGATTGAAAATTTTGTAGCATAGGAAAGAACAGGCCCAAATAATTGATGGATTGTAGTAGCGGATAGAATCAAGTATGTTGACCAACATACCCTCAAATTAAACAAAATCGCGAGATAAGTGTTTTGACTCGTGAAATGAAAATTGATGTTAAATTGTTGTAGATTTCTATTAATTTTGTTTGTTGATTGTATGTTTCTTATTGAAAACAGAAGGACATTTCAACTTGGGACCTGTTAGAAGCCTGTTTTTAGTTTTATCTAATGAATGCCATTTTGTTTAAAAAATTTAAACCAAGCATGATTTACCAATTTATCAACAATGAAAGACTTGTGCAAGTTGTTTCGACTGTAGTGGGTCTTCTATTGCCAGAAAATAAGGAGCTGTTTTAGGACCAATTAGGAGTATCGAAACTTTTGCCTAGCTTGTCTTATGCTTTAGATTTTTTAATTGGAGTAGGTGATGTGATCGGGTTTCAAATATTTATGCAATTTTGTAACATAGTAACATTGTACATCATTTATGTTTGTTCAATTTTTTTTGCGAATATTATTGAGGTTTACCAAAGAATGTGCTTTGAGCCACAACTAAGTATTTTATTATTGGTGTTTATATGGTATCATTAAATAAATGGGGGTAATACCACACACACCATAAAGAATTGATAAATATTTTTTCTTCCTTTATGTGAATCACTCCCAAGTATATGATCAATTGTTCAATAACTAGAGTAACATGACTGTTTATGATCTCCAATTAAGAATTAACATTCTTTTTACCAATATGCTAGATAAATTTTTAAATAAAAAAAATTCATATGATTTTTATTTCAGTTTTTGGTTTAAGTTTTATAGACAAAAAAGCAATTGGACATAGGAATGGAGTGATATTACTGCTATCTAATTTATTTATTTGTTTATATTTTGACCCAAAAAAACTCTTTTATTTGAATTTTTTTTTGTGCATTAAGTTAAACAATGGACTTATGTTCTATTTCATTAGTTTATGATGTATTCATTTGAATGAAACATTCTTTAATTGATCCAAACTTGTGAAGGGCATAGTTTATGTGGCTGTAATGTTGTAATCTCGATCTTTAAACTAACATTACCAGTATAACTATAAGTTAAGATTGTTCACGTACAACTCACGTGTGCAAAAAACTAGTCTAATAAACATAAATTTAAAACAAAATATTAAAATAAAGACCCAAAACAAATACGCACACATACACACATATATATACTAGCAATGCATCACATGCGTTGCACGTAAATAATTTTAGTATATAAAATATTAATAAAAATTATTAGGTATATGTATACCTAAATTAAATATCATTTCAAGTTTATCAAAATTATATTTTTATTACTTGTATGATACTGTAGAATGCAGAAAATTTTGTCAGTTCCCAACGGTTCATTGTTCAAACAATAAGAAAAAAGACAAAAATAATTTATTTGAAAATCATTTGATTTGTTTTCAACTTATAATTCATTGAATAAAATAAAAATATTTATCAATATTCTAGTCAATGCTTAATATAATTAGAAATTAGTTAGGTCAATAAGGATAAAATATAGGGTTAATAGCACTTTCGGTTTTTAAAGTTTGCGCATTTTATCAGTTTAGTTCTCAATATATGAAATTTGTCTATAAAATATTCAATTTTTGTTTAAATGGTCACCAATCAGATAATTCATTAAGCTCTTTAATAGAAGTGACTATATGTTGTTCATTCAGACAGTATTACGCGACCAGAATGAGATCACTTCTGTCAAAATTTAACAGACTGTTTGTGTGTGGATCATTTAAACACTAACTAAATACTTTAGGGATCAAATTGATAAAATTGATCAATGAAGACCAAATTAACAAAATATGCATACTTTAGGGATTAAAAGTGTTATTAACCTTAAAATATCTATATAGTAAATCACATGAAAATTTGAATTTTATCTCTTACATATTTTTTCCCCCAATTCCATCGCATCACCCATCTTATCACATGTTCAATTATTTAATATTTAATTAATTTGTAGTTTAACATAATTTTTATTTCAAATATTATATATATACGATAGTATACACATGTTAAGAATTGTTGATATTTTTAAGAAAAAAATTGTTATAGTGCGATCGATTTTTGGCCGCTCAAATTTTATATTTCTTCGTGCCTTCACACACGGGATGTGACTAATAATATAATACTCTATAATATATATTTTAAAAAAATATTTAAATTATAAAATTTAAGTTTTACTTAAAAATACACTATATTCTATTTTTATATAAACTCTTAATAAATCATGAAAAGTTTAATGTGATTGAAGCATTATGTTGATTTAACACAAATTATTTTTAATATCTTTATATTTGAAATGAGTAATGTTTAGTTTGGTGAAATTTTTGAAGACTTTTTAAACATTTTATTGAAAACTATAAAAATGCATATATTTTTTAAGGGCAATATAGTAAATTCAAATGTTTCATATATACTGATATTTATACATAAAGAATATAAAATTAAAAAAAATGTTAAGGGTAATTTGGAGATTTAAACACATAAGAATATAATGGTAATTTAGATATTTAACTATAAAATAATAGTGTAGTATTGAAAATTCTTTATAAATATAAAATAGTGAATCAAAAGTTTTTCATACTAATGTACTTTTATTAGCAGAATAGATAAAAAAAAAATACATATATATATAAGTATAATGTTATCTTTATATTTGAAAAGAGTAATGATCTATTGATAGAATTTTTGAAGATTTTTTGAAGATTTTATTGAAAACTATAATGATGCATATATTTTTTAAAGGTAACGTAGTCAATTAATTTTTTTTATTTTTATATGTAGAATGTTATGGGGTAATTTGGAGATTTAAATATATAAGAATATGATTGTAATTTAGATATTTAACTATGAAAAGATAGTGTGATATTTATACTCTTTATAAGGGTAAAATAGTGAATCTGAAGTTTTTCATTCAAGATATTTTATTAGTAGTCTTTTTTTTAAGAGTAGCGTGTCAATTAAAAATTTTCATAGTATTTTGATATTTATACATAGAGAATTAAAAGAGATATTATGAGATAATTTGGAAATTTAAATATATAAGGTTATAATTGTAATTTAGATATTTAACTATGGAAGGATAAAATAGTGAATCAATTTTTTTTTATTCAAGATACTTTTATTAGTAATATCTATAGTTTATAATATAAAACAACGCAGATATCAATAAATTCATCTGACTGTCTCAAATAGATTCATCAAACAGCCAACAACATCCCTCTCAAAACATTCATATTGTACTGTGTCTGATAGCACGAGTTACCCCTCATAGATAGATATAGATAAACATAAGGGAAAATCTTAACTACATCCCTTCTAGTTTATTATATCTTTAAAGATAACCTTTTTATTATCAAAAATATCACTGACATCCTTTTTAGTTTATATTTAAATATTATTGACACCCTTTGCCATTAAACCACTATTTCTAACAAAAAAAAATTATCTAAAATATCAAAAATACCCCTACATAAACCCCAAACAATTTTTTTACATAAAATTTGAGCCAATTAAAATTTATTTTTCTACATATTAAAATTTTAGCCGATTAAAATCTGATTCGAACTGATTAAATTTTATTTTTTTTACGTATCAAAATTTGAGCCTATTAATTTTTTTTTTATTTCAAGCATATTTGAGCTCTACCTATACTGTTGGCGCTGATTAAAATTTTCTTTGAGTCAATTAAAAATTATATTTTTTTACTTATTAATATTCGTGTCAATTAAAATTTGATTCAAGTTGATTAAAATTTATTTTTTACGTATTAAAATTTGAGTTTATTAAAATTTATATTTTTTTATGTATCAAAATTCGGACTGATTAAAATTCAATGCGAGTTAATTAAAATTTGATTTGAGCCGATTAAAATTTGATTTTTAATCAGCTCTAATAGAATTTTAATAGGTAAAAAAAATATAATTTTTAATCGACTCAAATTTTAATATATAAAAAATAAATTTTAATTATCTCGAATCGAATTTTAATCGGTCCGAATTTTAATATGTAAAAAAATTTAAAAAATAAAAGAGATCTCATTGAAGATATGTCTATCTAAAGGGAGTGTGAATAAAATTTTTTCTCAAATATATCATGACTAATTTAATAAAATTCTATTTTAATTAATATTTTTAATCGGACAGAGAGTGTCCGTAAAGATTAAAAAAAAAATAGAGGAAGTATTTTTCAAGATATGATAAAATAGAAGAGGCGTGACTTAAATTTTTTCGTGAATCTGCAATAGAGATATCTGAATATGTATTGTATTTAACTACAAAATAAAAGAAGACATTGAATGCTTGAAATGTGAAAAACAGAAAAAATTCGAAGTCAACAAGATAAAAAAAAAAAAAAAAATAGAAAAAGGTTTTTACCTCGTGGACAAACGATTCTAATTCAGGTTTCGAGAGGTCGGAGCTAAGAGCGTCGATGATCTCCTTCTCGTGATAGTCTGCTATTTTCACTAAACTGTTCAACTGCGACATTCTCCACTCGAAGCTCTTCGTTTTACCACTCCCAAACGCGTCTCTCTGCTCCTTCATCATCGAACTCGCCGCCTCGGCGTCGAACACCTCCTTCTTCCCATTCTCCGACTCCATTAGCGTCATCTAAGTCAGAGAACAACTCAGAGTTCTGTAGATACAGATATAGAGAGAGAAAAGTCTGGGTTTGGGTTGATGCTGTGGATTGACCGCAGCTCCTTCAAACATTAAAATTTGTGTTGATATAAAATTTTTTATAAAATCATATTATTATTTCAACAAATTAAATTAAAATTTTAAATCAAAACAATATTATTCTATTTTTTTTTATTCCAAAAATATAGAGTAGAGGGTGAGTTGGCTCTTCAAATGTAGGGAGCCCGGAAAGGGCCAAATTGAACTCTTTATTTTAAAAAATATAAATAAAAAGTTGGTTTAAGAAGAAATTTTAAGACTCGACTCTCTAGAATAGAAAATTAAATGGAAATAGAAAGTTTATTGGAGACTTTTTAAAGTGGTGTTTGATAAAATTAAAAGTTGAATTTTTTAATTCGTAGACTGTTTGTTATCAACTGAAATTTAAGTTTTGAATTTAATCAAACTTTTTAACAAATATAAATAGTTGGAGTCTAAAAATTATTATTATTTTAATTTTGTCATTCTTTTTAACCATTTATCTATAACTCTTTTATTCCTATCACCACCATCACAACGGTGGCGGTAAAAGTGGCAGTGACAGTGGTGGTGGTGGTGACATAGTGATAGTGATGGCGATAGTGATTGTGATAATGATAGTGGTGGCAACACTATTGTGGTGGTGGCGATGACACAATGATAGTGGTGGTGGTGATGGCAGCGACGATGACACAATAATGATGGTGGTGGTAGGCTGATAGCAGTGGTACAATGATGGGCGGTGGTGGTGACATAATGATAGTGGTAGTGACAGTGTTAGAGGTGGTGGTGGTGGTGGTGGCGATAGCTGTGGTACAATGGTAGGGTGGCGATAGCAATGGTAATAGTGGCAGTGACACAATGACAATGACAATTGTGGCGATGCTGATGGTGGTGGTGACAATTACAGTTGTGGTGACGGTGACACAATGATGGTAATGGTAGTGATGGCACAATAGTGGTGACATAATGATAGTGGTGGTGGTGGTGGTGGTGGCAATGACATAATGGTGGTGAGAGTATATTTGTCAATTAAAAAAAATTGATAAAATTTTTAATAACTAACATTTTCAGCATTAAGTGATAAGTAGGTGGTTTGTTACTTAAAATTTTAGTCTATTTTTAAGAAATGCTTAAAATAATTAAATAATATGAGTTTTAATTTATTAAACGAATTTAAATACTTAAAGTCAAATTTATTGTCAAAAAAAGATAAAACGTAAAATGATAAGAATAAATAGTGCTATTGAAATGATGTGTAAAAATTCACTCTCTATTATAATTTTTTTACTAAAAATGTTCTTTAAAATAGAGAGTACATGGTTAAAGATACTCTTATAATTTTTTAATACAAATATTCTATATTTTAACAAAGATTATCTTTAAAATAGAGAAGATACTCGGAGTATTATATTTGTCGTGTCCTTAACAACTCGGGAGTGACATATACGTAAGCAAAGAAGAAATGCATAATTACACTTATGAACACTGACATTAGGGTTATTTACATAATCTTCCCTTAATATTTAATTAAAATGATAGAAAAGTTCCGATCCAAGAATTTAATTGGTCAATGTTAATGTTTTTTATGTATTGATCAAAGGGTACCACTTAATAGGTTCTTAAGTTATGTATTGATCTGAAGTGAGATCAAACACAAAGAAGCGTTGGAGTCCCGGCAATTGCATCAGATAGAGCAGGTTAACAAACTTGAGCATGCTTCTATCAAATACAAGTCTACCACCATTAGACTATAGGGATAATCTCAAATTGCATCTCGAAAGATTGTTTGAATTTTAATTTGAACCTTCAATGATCAAATATCTCAATTTGCACCATCAAAGATAAAAATTTATATCCATGCGCACCCCAAGCTAACAATCGTCAGTTTACCATCTAAAACTAAATGGATAAATTACAACTAGACCCTCTTATGCTTGTCACTTAATTACCTAGACTCCTCACAATTGAAATATTACACCTACATCCCTTGAGAATTCAAATATAACCCCCAATTGGACATTCAAATAATTCTGTTTAAGTGATGTATAACTTTAGATATAAAGAATATTATATAAATACTTGCATTATATTGAACATTCAGATGTTAAACTTGATTTTAAATTTTAGAGTATAACAGACCGACAAAATAAAAAGTTGTATGAAATTATAATTTTTTATTATGATGAAATTATATTTTTTAACGGTTATATTAACAGATATTAACGACAATAAGTTATGTGTTACACATGCAAAAACGTCAGGGGTGTAGGAGTAATATTCAAATGTGAGGGGGTCTAAATGATTAAATAATAAGTATAAGGGAATCTAAGTATAATTTACTAATTTAGTTTTAGACTACAAAGTGATGGTTGTTAGTTTCAAGTGCGCATTGATACAAAATTCTGTCTTTAAGAGTGCAAATTGAGAATTTTAATCTATAAGGGTAGAAATTTAGATTTGAACAATCTTTGGGAGTGCAATTTGAGAGTAACCCTAGACTACAATAAACAATATAAATTGTACCATGTAAGCCTTCCATAATGGTTTCACGTAAGCCTAGCAACAGATCAAATTTTGACTGATCTGAATCTAAATTTAAATTTAAATTTGAATCAAATTTCAAAAGTTTGATCCAAATCTATCGGATTTTAATTTTTTGTGGTCCATATCTGAACTCATTAACAATCTAAAATCTGATTCAATCCAAATAACTTAATTAACTAAATTTTAATAAATTATATCTAAATTTCAATTAAATTTATTTAAATAATAAATTAATTTTTTAACATTTATATAAAATAATTCGAATCGGATTATAATAGGATTGGATATAGATATATCCAAATTCATGAAACATAAGCTATCGAATTCAAATTTTGGTGTCAGATTATCAATAAAAAATATTAATTCATATCTGTCTAATCAGATTCAGATCAGAATCCAATCTATTAATAGGCCTATTTCTCGAGGGATGACCAACTGAGTGTTTTCCGGGAAAGAACTGAAATCGAGGCTAACTCTTGTACAACAGAGTAAAAGAGTGTGATATTTCTTAAGTGTTTTTGAAATAAAGAAATCATTGCACATACACATGAGTTTTTCTAAAAATATATGAAATAGTGTTACAATTGGTGTGTGTTACTCTTATAGTGATAAGGGAAGGAGAAATATTCTAGCACTATAATATAGTGATGATTTAATTTTATCTGTGAAAATATGAATTATGTAAACCTAACCTTTAAAGTTTGTAGGTATCTTCACTAGAAATCTTCACAGGACAAAACTCGTCCACTAGGAATCACCTAGGGGTTGAACGGATTGTTGTATAAACTAAATATAATCGTGAAATCTACGAAAGTAATTTTATTTGTTTTAATTAATAGGGACTAGTAATGTTTGGTTGGGGTGTAATTGACCCTAAAAAGTGCATAATTGAATTAGGATTTAGGGTTAATAGTGTATGTTAATTGAAATAAAATGATTTATTTAAATAGTATTATGGTTACTGTTTAATTTATCTATTTTGTAGAGTTTCAAGGGTAATTAAGGAAGTTTGAAGAGATAAAAGTTCAGAGGTTAAACAAGAGAAATGAGGAAAGTGAAATTAAGAAGTCAACAAAGGAGGGCTGCACAAAGGTGAAAACCAAAGAATCTCTACTCTGGACGGTACCTTAAACCGCCTTACCTCTTCTTTTCTCCTATTGTTTGAGTTATAGAAATGTCGATGTCTTATTTATGCGTTAATATTTATACCTCCCTTAGTTGATGGATGATTATTACTATTATATGTTCATGGTTATGAACACCGAGCAAAACTTATAGCTATATACCATTCTATCTATAAGTTATTACGTACGTCATGCATGATTCGATGATGCATACAGTTGGCTTTTATGTTACAATTGGGAGATTGATTTTAGACGGGGGTAAATCTCGCTATATCCAATGCTTTGATTCAATGCATAAACTGGAAGTTCATCTTCATTGAATCATTGACCTGTTGATCGAATAGCTAAAGTCAACCTTTTAAATGGTTCACCTTTGGGTTTACTAGGGTTATTCGGTTGTTACATGGTACATAGACCTTCTGGCTAACATAATGAGTTGTTGTTATATGGTTTAGTTACACATCGAACCTATCGATTAATTTTTCAATAAAATGAAAGTTAATTGTTATTATTATCAAAAGTTTAAATTAAATATTTATTTGATAATTCTAAGTTCTTAGCACAAGCCGTTGTAAAGCACACTACGTGCACGACAATCTTACCTTTTTTATTTTGAATTCCAATAGTTAGCTCCCTATGGGTTCGACCTTGGACTTCAACCGAGAAATATTATAATTTGACCACCTATACTTGGGTGTATGATTTAAATCAGATCAGCAATTAAGCTTCGTACAAATAATTGTGGTGTTTCCTGCAACCTGTAGAGTACCGACTCTTTCATCATAAATCATCTTTCAATTGCTACATTAGTTCTTTCCAAGTTTTTAGTTGAAAATCATTCGTCTGTACTGGTTTGAATATGAAAGCAAATGAGTTGTAAATTTAAGGTAAAAACTCTTATTCATTGGTGGGATAAAAACTGAAGATTATTTTGTTCTTTATTTTATTGAATTTATCTTTAGCTTAGTTAATTTCTAAATTCTCAACTCTCAAAGAACTTTGTATTTTTATTTCATCACCATTCAATTTTTTTTATGAGGAGACTACCTCGGTAATTGACCGAATTACTAAATGATACATTCTTGCGCTTGAGAACACATTTATTATCTACCCACTTTTAAGGTCAAATAGCAGTGTTGTCGGATCTCCAACTAAAGTTGGGAAGGCACCTGGATTGCAGGTATTGAAGTATGGAGAAAAGACTGCTTTGGCTTATTAAATGCATTAACCTGCTCATGCATTTCCCTGAACATAAGAAGAGTTGGACACTCA